TGCTTTTTCTTAGTGCAAAGACTGAATAGAGATAACCTAGATGATTATGATATACAGCCCTGAGGTATATTGAGTTCAAAGTCAATATACGAATTCTGATGAAGCAGTAGCTATAATCATTTTCATTCATAGTCTTCAGGTTCAATAATCCGTTCCTGGGAATAACTTCTGTTCTGAGTACCTTCACATTTCAAACAATATGAATATTTTTTTCTTTTAAAAATGTATTTCATTTTTAATTGATACATGATAATTATGCATGTTTGTGAGGTATGTGGGATATTTCAGTGCATGGATACAGTGCCTGATGATCAAAGTAAGTGACATCTGTCACCTCAGACATGCATAATGTCATAAAAATCTTCTCTGATAACTCTCATAATGCTCAGTTAATTGTTGTCAACCAAATGTATCTTACTCTAGTGCTCTAGGGTACTAGAGCACATTCTGTTTCTTTGATTATGCCCCTCTACTCACTAGCCCTCCTCTCTACCTCTCCTCTTCCACTCTTCCAGGCTCTGGTCACCACCATTCCACTTTCTGGTTCTTCCAAACAAACCTTCTTAGCTTCTACACATAAGTGAGAATATCTAGTTAAATATTTTTTTTCTTTTCCTTTAAACCCCTAGGCTCAAGTGATCCTCTTGCCCCTCCCTCCTGAATAGCTGAGACCACAGGTACATCCACTTTACCCAGCAAGCTACTTCTTTCTTTTACTTTTATTTGCATTTATTTTGTTGCTTAATTTATTCCCAATGCTATAAGTTTTTGTGTCTTCAGTTTCTTCTGAGATATCTTATTCATCTGTGCAATGTCTTCCTCTCATTTAGGGATAATTTGTTCCTTTGCAGTAAGGATCAGATGTGGCAGGGGCTCACGGATGGGTGAATGTGCCCATGCATTCTGTAAGTACGGCGGCACATCTTGGGTGCTTAGTTCACCTGGATACGTTCAATGAACAGAGAATCTATGTTTAAATTCTTAAGCTCAGTAGCAGTCTCTGCTTTTTTAAGCACATACAGCAAAACTTCAGCACTCTTTTTGGGCCACCGACCCCGTGTCCAGCCCCTCTGTTTGGCCTGGGCACACCTACCAACTCTACCACTGTAACACTAGAATGGCACACATAGCTTCTGTAAAGTGACATTCTTCAGATCCTTGGTGGCATTTTGGATATGTATATCACTGATGGCCTGGGCACATTTACAGGTGTTCTCAAAGTGAACACAAGAGCTTCCCGGTTCACACTATTTTGTGTGATTTTCTGGGCCAAGACAGTAGCAAACCATTTCCGTAGGTCACCTCAGGCTGCTTACTTAGGAAGCATCAAATAACTATTTTTATGGGCTGCTTTGAGGTCAGCCTTTCTGAAGGTACTTCATGCACAATTGCTTTATGAATCATAAACTAAAGAAAATAAGATCTGTGGCATAACACCCAAGCAGGAAGATAGCCAGTGTATGCAAGGATCCAGTCTCTTTTATTCATTAAGAGCGTATATTCATTTGTGTTGTGTGTAGTAAGGAAACACTGAAAACAATATTAGAAATTGAATTATTAGAAATCATTCCCAAAAATGTCCACTAGGGCTGGGAATGCAGCTCAGTGGTGGGTGCTTGCCTAGAATGCACAAAGCCCTGAGTTCAATCCCCAGTACCACCAAAAAAAAAAAAAAGCCAAATGTATTAGCTGACCTGAATAAATTCTTTTAATATAGGCAGAAGTGAAAAAACCCAAGGCCAATCATGTCCTATGTCCCAGCATCCCCAAGACACCCTCAAATGGACATGAGCCACCATGTAATCAAGAATGTGCAGTCACCACTGGGCACGGTGGTGCCACTTGCAGTGCCAGCTACTTGGGGGACTGAGAAAGGAAGATTGAAAGTTTGAGGCTAGCCTAGGCAACTTAGTGAGACCCTCTATCTCCCCCCCC